GGTTGCAAGCTATAAACGCAGCGTTAATGTGATTTGCGTATCCACGCCTTCAAGAACTGTTCCCAGAGAACAAAATAACACACTGCATCATCTCTCTAGTAATCCAAACCTTAATACAAGCATTTGTATAAATTCCGTAAAAGGGTGAGTATACAACCCATAAATGATTTTGGTAGCAGCCCTATGCAGACGCCCTGAGAGTAGTCTTTCAAGCAGGAATACAAGAAAGCTATTTCATAATGGTAATCACTAGGCTAAGCTAATTGGAGAAATTTCTTTTTTCAGAGGATAACATTCTTTTTCGCGAGTGATATTACTACTTTAACCACTTGAAATTACCTGGGTGTTCAACACCGGCCGAAGTGATGAACCAATGACAAACCTCAACGCCATCTCTCCGTCCTTTTACCAACAAGCCTGAAAAGAACTCGATTTGGGCTGTGATAACACAGAACTTCTCCCACGACATGAAACTCTGATTTAGTTTTATTCATTACAGAAAAAACATTAAAAACTACTCTCTAGGGGTCACTAAAGATAAAATGTGAAGAGCCAGCCTTTGAACGAAGTCGCTCAATTCCGTGTACCGTCGCCAAACTATCGTGCTGGGACCTGCTTGCACCGGCGCATCGTTTTCAAGCTCATTTCGCCAAGAATTTTGCTTCGCCAGTCTGAGCACCTGAGGACCTGAGCAGTCTTCTGCGTGTTGAACTTTTTCATTCATTTTTAGGTTTTATCAGTGCATTTTCCTTTTTTCTCCTCAATCATTGATCTCCTTATCTCCTTGTCAGTAAACAGAAGAGGTTTGTGAGCTCCTCCTGGTGAAGATTGCATCTTAGTGCGTGAAATTGTTGCATAATTTTTATTCGATGAATTTGTAGAGGATTTGCAAAATGGTGGTCTAGTTTTCACTTCGAACGTGTCCCTAAACGTAACTAAACTAACGTAAACATAACGAAACTAGGCGATCCTTCCTCCGCGCTCATCTCCGCTCATAGTTAGGGATGGGAAACTTGCTCTATGTATAGAGAACTACTCGTGGGAGTTGCACTGCAAATCTTTCTACCATAATGAAGCGTGTAGGTTGTATTCATTCCTCTATGAATTTCCGTCCTCATAAATTAATCAGGAGATGGTATTTTGACGTTACGTTAACCTAATCGGGCCTGTGAGCTAAAAGAACAGCAGAAGGGATAGGTTTCGAGCCGTCTAGTTTTACCAAATTCCACCGTCTTGTATTTCAAGTGCGAATTTGCTTAAGCTATTTAATGCAAGTCTAATACATTCTTACAAGATCCGAAAGCTCATGATTTGTTGCTCGCCGTCAATTCTGAGAAAAGAGCTCTATAAAAAGTTTTCTGTCGTCCTGTCGTCTTCTTTACGAACACTTGTTCAGGCCTAAATTCCGCACTCTTGCGAGCGGTAAAGTTATGCAATTCGGCAAGTATGACCGTAATTGAAATAGCAGCTAGCCCCATGTGTCTACAGGAAGGGTCGTTAGCTTCTTTTGAGCACGTGCTCATTGTGGCTTTTTCAGCCGTAGTGCAGTTAGATCTATTGCAACATTTAATTTCCCGCTTCTTCTTTTTTTTTTATTTTTCTCTTTGATGAACGGTCATCGAGCAAATAGCCGTCATCGAATGAGAAAGCAAAACCGTGAAAACCTATGCAATACCCAGTATGCAACGTGCTAGAGAAGTTCTCCATAAAAAAAAAGCGGTTCGCATAACTGCTGAGATGCGCGGGACTTGCTTTGCATGCCAGTAGAACGCTTCATTGCACAAAATTAACGGTACACAATTTTGGAACAAGTTACAAGTCTGGCTGCCTGAATGATTTTGCGCTCAACTGCAAGGTCGCCACGCAGTTGCCTGCGCAGCGTCTCAGCAGTTGTGCGAACCGCTTTTTTTTGATCGAAAACTTCTCTAGTACGTTGCAGACTTGGTATTGCATAGATTTTCACGGTTTTGCTTTCTCATTCGATGACCGCTCTTTCCTTTTAGTTGGCATCTTTTCCGTTGTTTATCAGACCAAACTTGTCGTAATGAACGTGTCAGTGACATACTTTCCTTTCTTTCTCTTCAAATTTTTTTCTGTTTACTGTGATTGTATGGCCTTTTAAGCTTCCTTCGAAATCTGGTTATATATTTTTGCTCTCTTACCAAGGAATCGGAAGCGATATTTGTGAGAATTTTGAAAGACGACTTAACTTTGACTGTTTTGATTACCAATAGGATGGTTCGCGCTTCTCTGAAAATGTACCTTATCTGCTGTTTCTTAGCCCCTTCTATAATTTCACAGTCATTGAAAGTTTGACTCTTGCATCATTCGCATTCATCCAAGCTTTCTCCTTGTGCATGTTTTCGTGTGAACTCCTTCCTTATTCCTTGAGAGAGATCTGGGAGGAGCTAGCCTTGCGTCATTTTGATAATTCTACATATATTTGCACATTTTATGGTAAAGTTTTAGTATGTCTTCTCGACATCGCATTGACTTGGATGATGACAAGAAAAAGGACCGCAACAGGGATAGGGACAGAGATAGGGATAGAGACAGAGACAGGAAGTCAAGACGGTTAGTTTTCGTTACTTTTATCTAATTTTATAACAGAGGACTAGTGGCGCCACTCACAGCACAAATTTTTATAGTTTATATCGTTGTAATCAGTCGGGGCGGTGCCAGGAGGCATGAAATGAGCGCCTGCAGGTTTTCTTCACTGGTTGTTTCCTTCCCCTATCGGTCACTAAAAGGACACTGTTGGTGACGGCCTTTTCAGCCACTCGCGAGTTTTGGATCTCTTCGGTCACAGAGTATGAACGAGTCCTTAGACTAATAGTCAAAGAATGGTAGCGAAAAAAATAGTTTAGACGTAACAGTTTTGTTCTAGCATACAATCCTAGGCATGGCATTCGAACAGGGCACGGAAGAGGGTTACTCGCGGGACATTTCCGTTTTGAGACAACTGTCAATCTTGTTCTATGTCGGACCGACCACAATCGTGAAAATATTTCTTTAAAGGAGAGCCTCATCACGTTTAGTAGAAGTACGCAGCCACGCTTGTGAAGGGTTCCCAGTACAGCTGGGGGCGCGCACTCGCCATCGCCAAGTCTGGGTACTTGGGCTCAATAGGGGCTTTAACTTCTGTGCACGATTATCCCTCGACAACTGTAGTCGTCTGCGCTGTACAGTCAGGGCAAAAAAAAACTTGGAACAAGCCCAAGTCTTTGTAATAGTGTTACATACAGTTCTTAAATTGCACATGAAAACGTTAGCTGAAACCAAGTACGCCTGAAAAGGTTACTAAAAAGTAAAGTAGATTGATTAAATTCGTTACCGGGACAGAATTCCAAATATTATCGCGATGCCGCTGCCATTTTGATTTTGGACTGGTTTTCAGAGTTTCTAATGCTTTGAGAACAACAGAAAATAATCTAATGAAAAAAATTTATTTTTTTGGAATGGCATTTCAAGGCGTACTTTGTCAGAGCAAACAGAGTGTTCATGTTTGCCGCTACTGTAAGCCCGCACCTCTTTTGAGAACGGATGCCTAGTGTCACCCCCCCCCCCACCCCTACTCGGCCCCAACTGCGTTCGGAGGTTCTGTCCGACTTGATGGATTAATCAGTCCTTTGCGAATTGAGTGGGTCACGCTGAATCACGTCTAGTTCTGTTCTGCGAGAAACTGATCGTGTGAGCTCTGCTGAATCTAACTTTTTGCTAGGAGCGATATGGATAGGGAAGCTCTCAGCTACTTGTACATGACTATCTTTTACTTATACTGTTCATGCTTCCGATTAAATAATAGAATGAGCAACGGAATCCTTTTTCAATGTTTTCAGTGATTTTTTTGGTGATATATGATTCACTAACGTACGTTCAAGGTCTCGTTCGCGTTCTCGCTCACGGTCTCCCATAAAACGAGAGACGACATCACCTCCAACCATAACACAAAACAATAATTCGGCAGCTTCTGAGCCCAAGGTAGAGTACTGTTGTTCGAAGAACTTTCCTGTTTTACGTGTTAACATGATGTTTAGTACTTGAAGGCAGTGGGCACGACTGAGGGGCGGGCGGTTGTTGCGAGCGTCTTTAGTGGGAGGGCTGTGAGCTGGCGTTTGGCCACGCCCCGCTCAGCCCTTACACCAATGACACTGGCGATATGCGCCTACCCCCAACAGTCGTGCCCTCTACCGTCTCTCCGTTTCTCTTTTCTTCTACCGTGTTGCCTTATGTGTAAAGTAATAGTAAAGATGTTTTTCCAGGTCAAAATAAATCCTTTCACACGAATGCCATTCAGCAAGAAATATTGGCAAATTTGGGAAAAGCGTAAGAATCTGCCCGTTTGGGAGTACAAAGAGAAATTTATGGAAGTTCTTCACAACAATCAATGTAGGTTTATAACTAGCTTTGATTTTATTCAGAAAGCCTCTATTAAACGCACGCCTCGTATTCAAAAATGGTGGGCTGTGCGGCTTGGTGTCTACGAATCGAATGTATTAGGTTGTCCGGAAAGTTCTCAGCGTTTTGTGCACCTAATCTTTGTACATTCACTGCTGATTAAAAACTCATTCTGCCTTGCTTCTCAGTAGCACATCCTGTAGAGAATTTCTTGCGCTATCTGATGGTATAATTGCCGTTTCACCATTGCTTGATAAACCCTCTTTTTTCAAGACTTTTCAAGCATGTGAAAAGAGCACTTCGGACGATTTTTTTCTTCGGCTATAAATTGGGGCAATCCGCAATCGAAACAGCTCAACAAATTAACCAGGTGTGGGGGCCCAATAGTGCTAGAGAAAGCACTGTGCGGCAATGGCTCAACAAATTTCGTTCTGGAGATTTCAGCCTTGGGGGGGGGGGGGGTGAAGATGACCTCATAGCGTCGACCTAAAGGCTACCTGACGAGGAGTTGAAGGCGTTTGTGGAGGCTGACCCATCCCAAACAGTTCGAGAGATAGCAGAAGAGCTAGGCCTTGGCAAATCCACTGTTGCAGATGGTCTGGAACGCATTGGGAAGGTGAAAAACTCGACAATTGGGTGCCCCACAATCGGAGTGACCGGCAGGAATCGGCACGTCTCGAGGTTCCTTCTGCATTGCTTTTGCGCAGCAGAAACGACCTGTTTTTGGGCCGAATTGTCACCTGTGATGAAAAATGGGTCATGTATGATAACAGGAGACGTTCTGGTTGGATTTCGACGAACCACCGAGGTAATTTTCAAAGCCGAACCCTCACGAAAAAAAGATTCTGGTCACGGCTTGGTGGTCATCGGCTGGTGTGATCCACTATAACCAGGCCAAACCCATCACAGCAGAACCCTACTGTGAGGAAATCGACGAATTGTACCGAAAATTTTGTCACATGCAGCCAACACTTATCAAAAGAAAGATAAATTGAACGAATTGGGGGTTGAAGTTCTACCTCAACCGCCATATTCTTCAGACCTTTCGCCAACCGACTATCACCTTTTCTAACATTTTCAGAACTCCCTTGCTGGAAAATACTTCATCAATCAGGACCAGGCAAAAAAGCCTTAGTGGATTTCGTGAATTTTCGACCACCCAGTTTTTTACTTTGATGGGATTTCTCGACTGCTGTCACATTGGCAAAAGTGTGCTGATTCGAATGGTGCTTATTTGGATTAAATCCGATGAGTATTAAGAAAGTTATGATCGTTTAAAGTGAAACACCCAAAACGCTGAGAACTTTCCGGACAACCTAATATTTTGACTTGGCTTTCAGCCAGCCACCAGGGAGCAGCGCACGGGGGACCCGGCGGAGGATTGTATTTTGATGTGTTGGAGAGTGGGTCGTGTTTTTGCTTTGTGAGAAATTGGCCGCGTTGGGAAGAATTTTTTGACCACTAACGTTGGTTTTTTTCCCGTTCCGGCCGTACTATCAACCTATACCCCCCCCCCTCCGCGCTCGTCGACGACAGTAAAATTTTATTGGGAGAAATCGGAAAATTTTTGGCCGCCGAAAGTGGTAGGAAATTGGGGAAGTGAGAAGGATGTAGGTATGGGGGATGGGGAAGGCGAGGAGGAGGTCGTATAACCCGTATCAGAGGAGGGAATTTGGGTGCGGGTCATATTTTTTCGGAAATTCTCCCTAGCGAGGAGACTTGCCTTGTCAGGAAGAGAACTGTCTTAGGAGTTGTTACACGCAATGTCTTTTTTCCTATTCTATACTATTGGCCGTGATTCTGACTAGTACTTTTCTTCTGCGGGAGGCGCAAAATTCTCAAAATAATATTGTATTTTGATGGAGGTAAGCGACTGCAACGAACTCAGTGACAAATTTTGATTTTGATAGGTATGACTCTTGTCGGAGAGACAGGTTCTGGAAAGACCACACAGAATACCGCAATGGTGCGTAGACTATGTCCGTCAAAAAGCAGTACCTGGACAACGACGGCTTGTGGCATGTACTCAGCCAAGAAGAGTGGCTGCTATGTCTGTAGCTGCGCGTGTAGCAGATGAAATGGATGTCTAGCCTTTTATTTTACCGCAGTTTTGACTGTGTGGCAAGTTGGGGGGTTTAATTGCTTCTCGGAAAAGTTCGCACATTATCGATTAGTTTTTTTCAAGTTGGGACAGGAAGTCGGATATTCTATTCGTTTCGAAGACTGCGTCAGTGCACAAACTATACTGAAATATTGTACCGATGGTATGTTTTTTGGCCTGTTTAAGTATGTTGAGAGAATTTCAGGAGAATTTTTCCTTTTTTGCTTGAATGTCGAAAATATCAACACGTTGCTCTAATCTGTTCAATGTAGTCTTCACTCTTCTTGATTCTTTCTCTCACATGCTTTCAGAAAATACTGTTATCATATGTTTTTTGTTCGTAGTAGTGGTAGCGTAGTTGCTACGTAAGATGCTCTGTCATCAACACTTCCTGTTAGCTGCTGAAAACTTCAGAAATTCGAACTCGCGGGATTTTTTTTCATTCCCTCGCGGCCTGCATCTGCATCCTTACACATTTTCTTCGGAAGTCTTAACTGCGATAGGTTATTTCGATCCTTCTACCGAATTTCTTCCAAGCTTGGGGCTCATCTCAATACCGTTTCTGTTTTCTGTTATTACTATAGCGAACATTTGCTTCATTGTAGTCCCAATTGCACGCTTACGCAGAGTAATATACGAAATGGCTTGAAGCGTATTGTCGGTAGAAAGTTTTTCGCATTTCGAATAAGTGACAGCTGGGAGAGAGTAGTAAGAAAACAGTTTGGTGTAAAGCTAGTGGAGTTTTCTTTAATGCACGTTCAAAGATAAGCTGTGCACTTACCTTCATGGGTCCTGGTTCTAGCCATGTACAAGGCGAAAGGTTGCGCAGCTGCAGTACCGTGCCACTTTCCCTGCTTAAAAGTGCACGAGAACTGGGCTGGAGAGGTATGATACCAAGAAGCCGTTCCCATACTCCGCTCGCGCTGCCGAGGCCAGCCGTACGCCTAGCCATAGCAGAATACGCTGCAAATCTGCGCTCTGTCGTTTCTGGTTGTTCTGTGATGTTGAATGTCGCAGATGCCGTATATTGAGGGTGACACGGGTGAGGTATGAAGACGGCCCTTGAGTACCTCTACCACTCATTGGCAGTAGTTCTTGCCGGAACGTTAATTAGTGGATATGAACAATGACGACCAGCTTTGACTAAGATTAGTTCAGTTTCTCAGAGTGCAAGCTAATCAAAATCCTTAAGGTATGCTACTGCGTGAGGCGATGAATTGCCCATTATTGGATGGATATGGTGTTATAATTCTTGACGAAGCTCACGAAAGGACGCTCGCAACAGATATCCTCATGGGGCTGATAAAGGTAAGAAATCAATAGAATCAAGCTTTTAGTAGACAAGCAGTCCATCTGAAAGTACGTTCATACTTTTCGTCAGATTTTTGAGCGTAGGGCAGCGTTTTGATCGACAGTGTAGGTATCGATTCAGCATGCGGCAATGTTTTGAGCGGCTAGGAATAGCTATCGTGCTAGCGCTTTGAAAAGCGAGTTTAAGTTTTCCGCTGGCTTACTCTGGTGCACGGTCAAAACGCTAAATCGATAGCTACTTCCCTAGTCGCTCAAAACGCGAAGTATGGGCAGAGCCTTAATGATTTGTACCACTCGAGCTTGGTTTTGAGATGGGTCTGGGCCATGACTTCCACGTTGCGGCTAGCATGAGGCGTTTCAAGCTCGTGCTCCACATTCGCAGCGAAACCTATTCACAACGTGGCAGTGCTATGTCTCGTCAGTTAGGTAGGAAATACTCTGCTAATTTGAGCCGCAACGTAGAATTAACGGCCCACACAAATATAGGACTCTTTTCCAGTGGGATGGTTCGGCTATTCAGGCTACCTGCCGTTTACTTTTAGGCTTAGTGGTTCTCAAGCTTTTCAGTAATAATGCTGTTGCATTCAGGAAATCGTGAAACAACGTTCTGATATCAAGATCGTCATCATGTCCGCCACACTGGACGCAGGAAAGTTCCAGAAGTTATTTCGAAAACTGCCCATTGATGGCTGTCCCAGGACGGACGTTCCCCGTGGAGATTTTCGTACGTCATTGGTTTTGAGGTTTTCAAAATAGAGCGCTGCGGAACAGAATTCCTTCAATGATTTAGTTTTTAGTTCACTCCAGAACCGGAAAAAGATTACCTAGAAGCTGCAATTAGGACTGTGATACAGATTCATGTATGCGAAGAAACTGAAGGGAGATATTCTGCTCTTTCTTACCGGCCAAGAGGTAAGTGATTGTGGAAACTAGCTTGAATAGAATTTGTAGAGTATAACGTGGTAACACTAGTGTATTCGCTGCAGAAAGAGAGCGTCGAGGGGCGGGCTTCTGGTGAGATCTTGTGTGGTGTGGGTGTAGGTGTTGTATGCGAGAGCGGCTTGATGGCGCGAATAAACTGTCTTTAAAAAATTTCTTATTTACTTCATCAAAAGTGCTTACCATGTTGGTACATTTTTGACGCTAAGGTAGTTCGAGACGAAAAGTGGGGGGGGGTGACGTCGTCCACTACGTCGCGTTACTAGGCAGCACGTCTGCATCATTACACAGAGAACATGCATATCTTCCCCTCAACAGTTCTAGCCCTGGAAGAGAGCCATGGTGAGCGCTGTCTAATCTGACTCTCCCCGTGCCCGCCCCGCATTTTTTCACATTTTTTTTAACCGTTGAAAATATGATTTGTTTAGGAAATTGAAGAAGCATGTAAACGGATAAAGCGTGAGATTGACAACCTCGGTCCGTCGGTTGGTGCATTGAATTGCATCCCACTGTACTCATCACTTCCTCCGAATCAACAGCAACGGATTTTCGAGGCGGCGCCCCCTAGTAGACCAGGAGCGATAGGTACGTTTACCTTTTTTGCTATTCATTTCTACAGAAGTGTTTTTTCCTTCTTTCTGTTCTTTCTTTTCGATTGCCGTCGTTGGAAGATTTCTTTTTTTCATTCGTCTTGGAGATTTGGTTTTCACATCGTGGTTGCTGCTTTAGGACGCAAATGTGTTGTTTCAACAAATATTGCTGAAACTTCACTCACCATCGACGGTGTTGTGGTTGTGATCGATCCAGGGTTCTCGAAACAGAAGGTTTATAATCCGCGAATTCGAGTCGAATCGCTGTTAGTTTGTCCGATCTCCAAAGCGAGCGCTATGCAACGTGCTGGTCGTGCCGGTCGTACGAAACCAGGTTGGTTTTAGCTCTGTTGTGAATGCCCATCAAAAGTGTACACATTCCTAATTCATGCTTTTTCTTATAGGAAAATGTTTCCGATTGTACACAGAAAAGGCGTATCAAGAAGAAATGCAGGAGCAAACATATCCTGAGATTTTACGGTATGGCTTTGAGTTGCTGTGTCATTATCCCTATAGTACTTGTGCGAGAAATAACGTGAATTCAGGTCCAACTTGGGATCAGTAGTGCTGCAACTAAAGAAGCTCGGTATAGAAGATCTCGTTCATTTTGATTTTATGGATCCTCCAGCTCCTGAGACACTAATGAGAGCCTTGGAGTTACTGAACTACCTCGCAGCTATTAACGATGATGGTGAACTGACGGAACTCGGATCGTTAATGGCAGAATTCCCTCTTGGACCCACAACTAGGTGAATTACGTTCAGATTCTTTTTATATTACTCTTCTCTTAGGGTATAAACCAAGCTCCTAAGTGGGTGCTGTAGAGTTTTGTATGACTTCGATTGATGTGAAGTTGGAGAATTCTACTTTTTCTATTCTTCACGACTCACCTTTTCGAATGTTGGGGTAGATTCGTAGAGAACTTGGTCCATGTTGTGGACTTCACCAGGAGTTGGGGATGGTCTTTTGATGGTGCTTGGCTTCCAGAATGCGAAGGTTGTGTCCCATTTGCAAATAGCGATAATGGCTCGCCTCCAAAGTTCTCGATCCGTTTGGTTGTGATGTCAGGAGATACAGTCAGACACCGAAGCAGACAATTTTCTAGCCAAATTTACCATCGGGAACAAAGTTCCATGAAATTTTCTCACAGTCTTTGAAAAGTGGGGGTCTTAAAGATGAACAGTGCCAAAATATAGAATTTGAACTACTTTTCAGACGGTGATGTCGAACTTTTACTCAGTAATTAGTTACTCAGTTTTTTTTTTCAAATCTTTATGTTTCAGCAAAAATGCTTATCAACGTCAACAGAACTGAACTGCTCGAATGAAATCTTGTCAATCACGGCTATGTTGTCAGGTATCTTCACATTCTCCTCGCGAAATCAATGTTTTACTTCTGGAATTTGCTACTCCTATTCTTATTGATGACTTAATTTCGTGGATCGTTACCGAGCTTTCATCTGTTACTTATGTTTTTTGAAGATTTTCCTGTTTGTATGCTACACTTTCTTCTTTCAGTACCACAGTGCTTTGTACGGCCGAATGAAATGAAAAAGGAAGCGGATGAAGCGAAAGCCCGATTTGCTCACGTTGATGGAGATCATCTGACCCTGCTGAATGTTTACCATGCGTTTAAGCAGAGTTAGTTTTTTTTTCTTGATCACTAACGAGAAATGCAGTCTGCATGTGTCCTTCACTTAAATTTTTTTGTCAGTTGACCACTTTTTTTTTGCTATCGGCGTTTTGAATAGTCTTTTGTTTGTACTGGCAACCCCAACATAATGGTGAGCGTCGTGTAATGCAGCTTAATTCAGATAACGAAGATGTACAGTGGTGTTATGACAATTTTATCAATTACCGTACTATGAAGACAGCAGATACTGTACGAACACAGCTCGGAAAGACTATGGATAGGGTTGGTGCTCATTATGACTTCGTTTTAAGACATATTTATACATACATGACATAACTTTCGAAGGGCGCACCGCGGCGCTAAACCGCAATTATCAAGCTAAAGCAAGTTTTAACACAATTCCTGTAATCAAGTATTACCAGTAGTTGGCGTTCAATAATTGAACCAGCAGCCGATAAGTGACTTTCTCGTTAAGGAAGTAGCAAAAAATACATTGAGAACACCTCAAACGAACCCGCCTTTCCATGACAGTGTTACAGCCTCAGTGGAAATAATGAGGTTGCAATAGTCGGACTCGTGCGTATTGGACAGGCTCCGTTCGGCTGTTGAGCTCATTTCTGAAGTGGCCTAGATCACACAAATCGCTGTAAAACCTGTATATCCGAGTAGGTAAGTATTAGCATCTGATTAAAAATATGGCCTATCATTCTTGTCCGCTGGCGACTTAAACGAAAGACACTATGACTAGCATTCTTGTCGCTGGCGCTAACGGAAGACACTATGACTATCTTATAGGCTCAGCCTTAGCAGAGCGCAAATAATCGTAGTGTCCTCTATCAGCGCAGCGCCAAGATGCACGTTTCCGTATCAGATGTTTAAGCTTACTTCGTATTCCAAGTTTCAGCGGCCTTGGTGACTATGCCTCATAAAGAGGTGAGCAGTTAAAACTGAGTGGCGTCCAAACGCATATAGCCAACGTTGCGGCGTTTGTACCTCTCATCGCGCCATTTTGAGGTATCGGACCCGAATACCAAATGCACGGAAGAGCATTTTCACGGAGATCACCGCGATCGTGACTGTCTTTCAAAGCCGTACATTTGCGATGAGAATATACATATGCTATCTTTACTCGGTTTGACTCAAAGGATCAGTTCTGCTGAAAAAGCTCTGGTTTATCGGTTTACACACGGTGTCGCGACTGCAGTGCGCGTGCATGCGTTTTGGCGCTAGATCGCAACATTTTTGGGTCGTTCGCGTTGGTTCTGAATTATTTCCGGAAAGCACTACAGTAAGCATGAAACCGAAGCAATACGGTAACAGCGACAAAAACATGAACGATAATTCTGATAATCATGCACTGCAGGTGTCTTTAATTTATGTAAAAGGTCAACACTAACTAGAGTACTGTAAGCGGAAGCGAAAAATCGTTTTATTCTTTCAAAAAGTGTTTATTCAGTGAGCCTTTGGTGAACGCTTTGTTGGCTACAAACTGTTAGACGTTTCTTGTTTGCCAAGCATTAGTTCCCCTTGATGTGCGATACTACAATTATGTTAATTTTCTGCGTCGAATTCTTTTTCCCGGCGCGTTTGGAGCGATATTTTGAGCTTAATGCGCTCTCATATACACATTATTTAGAGCGCGTTCATACCTAGCGATCAGATCGTGTGAAGGATCGGATCAGCGCCACTGCATGCGTTTGCCATCAACCGTGTCGCTGCAAACGCGCCGGTGATCCGATTCGTCGCACGATCTGATCGCTCAGTATGAACGCGCATTAAACATTGTGTGTAAGAGAGCGCATTAAGCTTAAAAATCGTAAGTAGTGACCAGTTAGTTACTTAAAATGTGCATCTCGCACAACTTCGCGCCCGAAACAGAAACAATTTACGCACTCGCGCTCGCAACCACATCCTTGAACATTCCCCCTCTAGCGGCGAAATATAGAGTGTACTTTAACGATTTCGATTTCTAGCTCTAACACTGCAAATTTTGGTGTCTTTCAGTTCAACCTTCGACGAGTTTCAACAGATTTTAAATCTAAAGACTATTATATCAATATACGAAAGGCTCTAGTTGCCGGATTTTTCATGCAGGTTGGTGCTCACTAGTGTTTTCGCAAAGCTTCAAGTCAATACAGCTGCAAGGTTTTCTGTTGTGTCGAAAAGTCGCTTTTTTGAAGGTTGCTCATCTGCAACGAAGTGGTCATTATGTGACCGTGAAGGATAATCAGTTGGTTAATCTTCATCCTTCTACTGTACTTGATCACAAGCCAGAGTGGGCCCTCTACAACGAATTCGTACTGACCACAAAGAATTTCATCCGAACAGTGACAGATGTGCGACCGGAGTGGTGAGTTTTCTGATTCTTCCATTTTTTTTTCAAATATTGCCCCTTAGTTACGCGATACAAATGTAAAGTAGTTGATCCGAGGGCGGGAGGGTCGTGACGGCGTGTCTAATACCCCGCAACTAGGCTCGGTCTCAACAGACCGGGTGCTATCAAGGTGGGTGGAGTCTAGTGTACCAGCGCAGTCATAGTTGTGCCCCGTTCTCCTAATCTCCCTCCCCTTCTATCAAACTACGTAGATGCTCGAAATCAGAAGGATTTTGAGCAGGGCATGTCATCCTGGTGGAAAACTTATCAAAATACGGCCCCCCTCGCTTCAACATCCATTAGTCGGGAAGAGGGGTGGGAGGGTTTAAGTGGTGCCTGAAACGGCAAAGGAGCGAACAATTAGACCACGTCGTACGTTGGGGCATCCTCAGCGGGTGGCTCGTAGTTGGTTGCTGGGGGGAGGGGAGGGTGGCTCGTATTTGCCTTTGAGAGAAATTTGCGGCGTTGGGAAAAAAATTTCTCCCGGTTGTTAACTTTTCACGGTGTTTCCCATTTCACGTGTGCTATATACTTATATTCCCCCGGCAGCTTTTGGGAATAAACTAGAAAATTGTCCTGAGAGTTCCTCGAAAAAGTTGAGTAGTTGGAGGATCAGGAAGTGGTAGGTAGTATGAGGAAGGGGCTCATATCAGAGGAGGGGATTAAAGGGGGTCGCGCTTTCCGAAAATTTTTTCTCCAGCAGCAGGACGTGCCCTGCGAACATTGCAGAAATTTCCGCTAATCAAGTGCGACATTTTTTCCTTGCAGTCGGAATACGGTCCTTATTCTGGCGCGTATCCTGAGCCATGAAGTACCCTGATTATGGGCTGGCGCAGTTCGACTTGGGGGGGGCAACCTTCGCACCTCCCATTGTCGTGTCGAGCCATCAAGTAAAGATCGGTGAAATATTGTGAAGACGGAAGTGATAGCAGCAAAAGCGCAGAATGCCCCCCTCCCCCCAAGCAAGACTACGCCGAAGAGCTCATTCAGCTTTTTCCATTGTTTGTGAAATCTTTTGGTCATAACTGTAACACAACTTTTTTTCAGGCTATTGACAATCGCACCCCAATATTTCGACCTTTCAAATTTCCCAGATGGTGATACTAAGCGGAAGCTCCTCTATGTAGCTAATTCATTACGAGCTCTACAAAACAGTAAAGTAATTTGAAACTGAATGAGATGTTTATTACAAAACGGTTGTATTGTATTTATTACTGTGGTGAATCTCAGTTATTTTTGAGCTATAAGTTGGGTTTTTCACGAAGTGGGCTAAATGACTTGTAAATGGTGTGATTTTGAAAGGTTCAGGAATGCTTGGGTTGTGAATTATCAAAAAACAAGCCCCTGCAATTTTCGGTCACCACAGTGTTGAACTCATTCTGAAAATCATATAGCTTTGAATTTTATGATTGCTTCATTTATAGCGATGTATCATAGTTACCGTAATGTTGTCTCCCTGTGTTTTAGCTTATTCTTTGTTTTTTTTGCGATAAGGATCTTGTTGCGTCAAATTCTTTTAGTTTGTAAATTTGGCTCTGTTAATTACTGAGGAAGTTGTTAGTTAGCGCATATTTATGAGAATATTTTGATGAGTTGTTGTTTTCTGTGCTTCATCCTGTGATGAGCAATACCCTTCATTTTGCACAGTTTTGCCGTTGCTGTTGTTTTTTGGGTGCGTTGGAATGAAGAAGGTGAAACGAGTCTTTCAGTGAATATTTGACAGCAGTCTCGATATCCGAGTTCGCAGAGGTGTAGCCCGACTGGTGCCAGGCCAAAAAAGCGCACTGAAAGGAAAAGGCTCGAAAACTGAGGTCAATTTAAATGATTGAAATCGAATAAGGCTTTGTTTAGAAAAGGACGGTGGCGCAGTCCGTCGATGGAGGGAAGGGAAGGGCATTTTGCACTTCCACTGCTTTCCGTTGTCGTGTTCAGTACAAGAATTGCCCACAAGTCCCCAAAAACTGACTGGTATTACTTCATAGCTTCACCAGAATTTACAAGCCTTTACTTGTTAGCTCAACACAAAATCGGGACGCGGTGTAAGTGCAAAATGATCCCCCCCCCCCCCCTCTCCCCTTGTTGCCGAAACGCGCCAAGGACAGCTATAGTAACTGCAAACTACTCGGCATCATAGGTAGTTTGAGAGAGGCACATTCCGTGAATTCAAAACCTGGCTAATAAGGGGTTCAGAAAGGGGTAGCGGCTTGGCTTTCAATTGGGAAGAGAGCAAAAGAAAACGTCGAAAACCCTATAGATAGCCGGGTAGATTCTCAGCAATGGACGTGCGAGCGAGAGACAAGAAGGTTAC